TCATACAAAATTGCATGCCTTTTGTAAATATTTGAAATGAAAATATTATTGCTATATAATCAAATTTTTAATTTATTTTATTTGTGTATTTTCAACCAACTTTCTTTCGTTGCATATGTTAAACAAATAAATAATTCAATGCTAATTGTGTGCACCAACGATCTAAAAAAAAACAAAAAAAAAACTATAACAAACACACATGCAAATATAACTTTGTTATGTAATCATCATTGTGTTCGCTATGGTATTGCTATATGCATCTACGCACACACACATGTCATATATGTATATACTATATGTATGTGTTTGCACTTGTTTGTATTTGTGTGTGCGTGACATGTCGCCTGCTTTTTACAAATCGCTTCAAACTCTAACACAATGCACACATCACATTCGCAATCACATTCGCATTCACAATGCATCACATTACGCATACGCTCAGTGTGCTATCATATCAGCCCGTCATGCCGCAAGTGGGCGTGGCACTGCCCATACAAGATACCACAGGGACAGCAGCGGCAGCAGCAGCAGCAGCAGCAGACATGTCAACAACACTGTTGCCAGCCACATTGTTGCCAATACAACAGCAAAAACATCAGCAACAACCAGAGCAACAAAAGACAACCACAAACGAGAACAACAATGAGACAAGTCTGGCCACGCCCCCGCCCACACGCAATGCACAAACGCTGGCATGTTTGGCACCCAAATCACCGCCTCGCTGGCCCCTCCGTCCCGGCGTCATGTTGCACGTACGGAACGATACCAAAGAGAATTTGGCCGTGAATCGCATGACACTAAAACCAAATGCACCGGCACCGCCGGTCCCATTGGCACCAACACCAGCATCAGCACCATCAGCACCACCACCACCACCTCTGCCACCATTGCCACCACAGTCCCCGTACAACCCAGCTGGCAATGCTAGCCAATTGTCCGCACAGCTGAGTGCCGTGCTGCTGAATGACAGTGCGAATAACTCACAGAGCACAATGCTAACCGAGGTCACAGATGCCAATAATACCGCGACCACTGCCATGACCAACACCACGACTGTGACAACGATCATGGAGCGACAGAATAGTGGTCGTAGACTAGTAGTCGCTAAAACTCAATTGCAACCAACAGATGCAACACATGCAACAGCAACAGCAACTAATGATGCGGCCGAGACGCAGGCCTGCTTGGACATACCTCCAGCTTCAGACCAAGTTGAGAACAGCAATAATAATAATAAGCGCATGTCGCGGTTCCTCTCCTACGTGTTTAGACGTGCCAAGAAATCTGGCAACGCTGCCAATGATGATGGCACACGCGACAGTCAACGCAGTCACGTCGGATTGCTGGGCGGTGTGTTGCAACAGAATTTTTGGCGTCGTCGAGGCAACGCCTGCCCCACAGCATCCCCCTTCAGCGCCCAGCATCGACTCAAGGGCATCCGTTGCAGCGGCAGTGGTAAATTTATTTTATTCAATTGGGCTTCTATGTGCAGCAACTCAATTTTCACTCTAATAGTAGCTGAAAGAGCAATGAAATCTTTTGGGGTTACATATATACTAAGTAGTTGAGCAATAAAGATCTGGGTTTTCAATAGTCAAATATTATTTTTACGAAGTTTGTTCGCGTCAAAAACATCAGTTTAATGATATTTAAGTGCGTTTACAAAATAGCTTTTGCTTTTAGAAACACAGAAATTTTTGAGGCTGAGTTCATTCCAACCATATTAGACTGACTGTATGAACGTCTGGATTTTAGGGACCTCAACACCAAGAGCCACCAAACTTGATAGAAGCGTTATTCTGACACCTTTACTTATCAAGTTTGTTTTAGGTATTCAATATATTCACTTTGCCATCATCTAATAAAAAATAACATGCACGAGGAAAACATCGTAAAGTCGCTTTGACGTGACGCATGTATAGGATAAATTGAGAGGGATGGGATCATCAGTTCTTGCTACATATGATATGGTGATGTTGTATAAGAAATGTATACTTTCTTGTCTGGAAAATAGACAAGTATTCTCATATTGAGTTGCCACGAGAATAAAGTTATTCTTGCACATATAGTTCATAGAATAATTTGCGTATGCTTATACATATTTATTTAAACTTTTAATTTATTAATATTGTTTTCCAATCATTTGCTTTTTTATTTTAACCGCCTTCTCACAAACACACACACACACATGCGCATCATTTATCGCTTGATCTGTTAGTCACCTACAAAAAGACGCCCTGTAAAAGTAAAGAAGCTACAACAGCAACAACTACAGTAATAAGCACAACTAATGAAACCACAACATTAGGAACGGGAGCAATGTACATGAAGCCCCTGACAGGAACGTCGGACGTCTGCAGTCCCAGCAGTGTCCGATCACCTGCCTCTGTGACATTTCAAACGCCTTCATTAGACAAAGCGGCAATGGAAACAACAGCGCCAGCAACAGCAGCAACACCAACAGCAGCAACAACAGCTGCAATACCAACACCAACAACCTCTCCAATAGCAAAAACAAGAGTGGGAGGCAACAGTCCCACACGAATGGGGGTAAGCTCATTGGAACGCCAACCGCAACGGGGAATATTGAAATGCCCGACACCGCCGCCGCGTCCTCCGCCACCAATATTGCCCTTGCGACGTGGCCCTGGACAGCTGTTCACCAACAACAGCAACAACAGCAACAGCAGCAACAACACCAACACTTTGCCGCCATTGCTCAAGCGTACCGTCGTCGTGTCGCCCACGAAGGTCGAGCGCGTGCAAAGTAAGAAGCCTAAACACGATCTAACTAGTCATCTCATTATACATAAGCCGTACACCCCAACCCCCATCCAACCAACATTGCCCCAACAAATTCAACTCACATTTCATACCACCATTAATATGTACATATAGTATACACTTTTATTACAGTTTTTCTCTCTTTAATTTTAATTTGAAAGACTTCCTTCATGCTGCCACGTTGCGTACCTTTATTTTGAAATAAGTAGATATGCCACTGATATATTGTGTATTCTGTCTTAAAATATTGCAGCAGAGTGACTTGCAGGAATTTAAACGCCGGCTAAATTAAAAAGTTTATAGGAATTGTTAAGCAACCTTCTAAATGCTTCTAAAATGAGCAGCTCACATGGCATTTCGTATGCATCATATATCATCTGAAAAAACTCATTGTGAAGGCTTTGACATCCGCATGTCATCGTGCCATTTGAGCCGCAGACTTAAGTTGCCGAGAAAAATGAAAAAACGACCTTTAAATTACTCATAAGTAGCTAATGCGTAGGTGAATAGAGACGTGAACAAGTAAAGCTAAATATTTACGGATTAGATATAATCGATCGCCTTCATCGATTTTTTGTCGATTCGATAGTTGCTTCAAGTTATTTAAAATAATTTTGAGAGCATCACAGATACTTGTATATGATAACGACTGATAAGTTATTAAGATATTTTCAAATGATTTACCTAAAGCCGCTGCTTAATAAATATATCAATACTTGCTACATGAAATATCGGACTACCTCCTTATCTTATCCTTATCATCGAATGATTGCATTCGCAGTAATGCTCATTATTTTAGAATCCATAATTTGTATTTATTTTTATCATTCACATCAATCAAAACTGTCACACAAGTGCGTTAAAAATTTATAAAGAATAGAAAAATACATCACTTCCAAATCGTGGGCTCGAAAATTTTTAAAAATAAAGACCATTCACTGCAATTAAATATCGAGCAAATTTAAAAATATTAGTTAAATCTGATTTAAATGTTTTCAAAATCTAAGTTCTTCTTGCATTCTACAATTATTTTTTTGGGATTTCTCAAAACTTTTTGAATTTATCGTTACTTTTCTCTACACACTTTAATTATTATCGATTTTTTTAATTTATAAAATTAGCAGTATATTTATATTTCAAATACTTTCTAACAACCACTGTGAGCGGTTTTTAGACGACTCTTAGAATCGATTTATAGCTAGACATCAACTATTTAAGATGTCTTTATTAACGAAGAGGAATATTTCCGTTTAATTGCGTATTTACATTTTTTAAGATTTTAATATAATCCTGTAAATCTGAATAATTATGGCAACTGAATATAATTACACATATTTTTTCTTATATATATTTTCTTTTTCCAAATTAGTTTCCATGACAATATAATTTTATAATTTTATCTCTCCATATGGGAGCCCACAGCCAACACTTTCATACAAAACATAACTATTTAATATTTTTGTTTAATATAAACACTGTGTTTAAAATTCTCTTTGTCACAATTATTATCGCTGTAAGTAATTTTTAATGAATCGACTGTCGAGGTGCTCATATAACGACGAACGACAAGTAAGGAAATGCTTGGACAGCAAAAGCAACTAAATACTTGTCTAGCTGTTACAAATTTAGATCTGCCTGCCTATTTGTTTAATATTTATTTATAGCTGTACGAATATTGTTAAGTGTTTTTAAATGTTATTGTTATTGGCTTGCGATTTCTTCTGTGTGCCTTGATAGTATTGCCTGCTTGTGATTCGTCTCAACTCATTCTGCCGATTTTAAGCAGCATGCAAAGTCTTAAGATGTTCAATACTTGACCCTTCAATATTTGTTTTGTATTATTTAGGAAACAAAATTGAAACATTACTGTATTTTCCCTAATTTCTTTCTTCTACTACCAAAAGTTAGATTAGGTAAAGGACACTCGACTTAAGTTACATTTTAGTGCAATGAACTTAGCGTACTATATTGATTTATATTTGATTTACATTTGAGACTAATTAATTTCTCTTCTCATTTATATTTATTTACTTTTTACTATACTTTTTACTCGACATTTGCGTTCCCCGCGCGCCTTTGAACACAACACCCAAATACTTAAAACCAAAAAAACCAACAATCGTTAATAAAAAAAAAACCTACGCTAATATGCCAACACGTCTATATATGTATACCGATGTATGTATGCCAAAATATGCATATATTTATATACATAGTACACGACAAGTCGTCTTCACTGGGGGATCCATTGACGGAACCTGGCGAGTATGAGAATCTACCGTTTCATGGTCTGCAAACGGCACCTAACAAGGTATAGTTCAAAATTTGTGTTCCCTATATCTAGCAAATTGTATTATCTTTTTTTCTTATAACTGTACAGTATGAATATATATATTTATATACATTTGTTTAAATAACACACCAGCACACTCATTTCCACACTCACAATTACACATACCGCACCGCAGCTTAAAACACTCTCCAACTCATTGCTAATTGCCTTACAAGTTTCTCCTAAATATACATACGTACACGTACTATATATGTATATCTGTTACATATGTATAAGTCAAAGCTTTTCTATATTATCGTGCTCTTCTTCCTCTTCGTGTATCGTTTTTATTTTTATTGTCCTTAGTGGCTTGATTGTTAAGCAATATTGTGTTTATAGTTTACTATTTTTTATCTACATAGCGAAACAACATATTGTCTTACTGTTGAAGAAAAAATTGTTAATGATAAAATATATAGAAATATACATACATATACATATATAAACCGATACACATACTACTGCATAGCTGGCCTACTCCTAAGGCTTTTTTTCTGCCTTCAATGCCTAATGATGTCTGCCATCAGCAATTCATCATTCTTTGTCATTTGTTCTCGAGTTTTTGCCTTCCATCGTTTCATTTTCATTTATTTTCATGCCATTTTCCTTACCTTTTTCTTTCTTGTTCACGAATTTGATCGAGATTCAAGAATTTGTTTCAGCTTTCCAAAACAAAAATTAATAATGATTTATGTCTGCCAGAGAATTTTGCCATTTTCTGTTTTAGTTGGTAGCTCGGACTTTGGTTTTGTATTCAAATGTACTTTATTTTATTTTACATTTAAACTACTTTTTAGTTGGTATGTTTAGTTCAAAAATATATATTTTAAAAAATAGGTTCAAATAATGTAAAATATATATAATTAGCGATTAAGCTCATATATTTGTATTTCGTTTTACTAATTTTATGCAAATGAAACCAACAAATTTTAAATGCGAGCTGTTGGCATTAAGGGTGAAATGTTTTAGGTTTTTGATTCATACTCGGTTTAAATTATGAAAAATTCCATATTTTTCTATGGGAGCTGTATTTTACTTGAATATAATATTTAAATTTAAAATATATATATGTCAATAAAAACATTTAATTTTGAAGTTTTGAGTGATTGAAAAAAAGAGAAACTTTTAAACTGAATTGACTTTAGGGAATCCTAAAACTTGTTTCTTCTCAATTTATTAATTTTAAAATGTCATATAATATATATGTTCATAAATAATAATTTTAATTATTTTTAAGACTGTGACTAATTGAAGCAGTTATTTAAATATTCTTAAAATACCGAAAAAAACCATTGCCTACAGCTCGCATATTAAAGAATAACATTTAAAAAATATTTTGATTATTTCAAGATGAAATTAAAAACACACACACACAGACTTCCCTTACTGTTGTTCGCTAGCAAACACCTTAAAAATGTTTAATCACACAATCAAACCGTTCACTATATATAGTATATATATATATATATATATATTGAAATCGACTCTTATATGAATAGTAACTAACAAATTCTTGCAAACAATAAACCAGAAACCCTCGCCACTAATCAACAACTAATCAATTGTTCTCTTAACTTTGTTTCTGCCCACGCTTTTCGAACCCGATTACAACACGCATGTGTGTAAAACGATGCCGCTGCTATAACAACGCCAATATATAACCACGCCCATGCATGAACAGTTCTCTACTACCCCTACAAATTTTAATAACAACACAAATGTGGTGCGCGTCGCTCCACGACCCAAGAGACTAAATGGAAGTATCAGCCAACAACACCAACAGCAACAGCAGCAACAACACCAGACACTGCAGCATCATCACCAGCAGCAACATTACTACGACCAGCAACAACATCAGTACCAGCAGCAGCAGCCGCAGCAGCAACAACAACAACAGCAACAGTACAACACCATGCAGTACGCGCGTGGTGTCATGACCAATGCGACATTACCTCCTCATAATCGCAGTCTCCACAACATACACGACCAACATCTGCAGCAGCAGCCGCAGCAGCAGCAACTGTTGCAGCCACAACAGCAGCAACACCAGCAGCTGCCAGAGGGATGCGATGCGCCACATCAAATAACGTACAATCTGAGCAACTGCTTTCCGAAAAGCTACACCGAGTACTATCATCAGCAACAGCATCAGCAGCAAAAGTTCCACACCAACTCGGCTTCGAATGCGCAATTATTGAACGCCATTGAGCACGATTATCCCACATATGCGGTGGTTGAGCGGACTGGAGGGGCTTCATCTTCCATACCGCCGCCCCCACCGGCACCCAGCTCGGCTCTCTTGAACACGAACCCCTTTTTAGCGGCCAGCAACTTTAAAAAGTACGATGCTGCCGGCAGCAGCATGCAACGCGTCAAGCGCAAGGGCAGCAGCCTGCTGGATCGCATGGATATGGACAAGAAGTTCTATTCTCTGAAATTCCCGGGAGCCAGCAAAAATAGCAGTAACAAGAAACAGGCGGCTTACAATTTGAATGCCTCACTGGGAGTGGCAGGGACAACAACAGCAACAACCGGATCAGGAGCAGCAGCGGCAGCCAACAAATGCAAACGACATCATTCCTTTGCTGGCGGTAGCCATGGCGATATTGATTCCGTCGGTGCGCTCAAGCAGCCTTTGCGCTTCTATGATCCGCCCGTCTATGAAAATTTGGCAGACAAGTGCGGACAATTAGAAGGGACGCTGATGCAAGGCGGCAGCAGCAACACAGCCACCGTCCAGCTGCACACGCAGCCCGGAGGAGCGGAGAGTGCTGCTCCCGCCTCAGCTGCTGTTCTCGTTACGGCGAGCCAAAAGAAAAAACATCACCATCGCCAGCACCAGCAAAAGAATGATGCCAACGTAGACTTCCAGCTGATGGAGCCGGAGCGCTTAAGCATTTATCGTAGCGACTCCGGCATATCGAATAGTTCGTACGAGTCGCACGCAACGCCATTGCCCGCCCTGGGCTTGGGCGCCCAAAAATCGACCAAGGCCCACAAGGGCGCCTCTGCCAGTGGCCTTGCTATCCAGCTTAATAAGAATAAGCAGCAGCAGCAGCATCCACCACGTGGCTGCCCACCTGTCTACATGAACGTGGAGGGACAGCCTTTGGCACGTGCCGGCTCACCTGGGCACATTAATTCGTCCTACGAGTCCGCCTCCTCCTCGCAGCATGATGGAAATGCGGGCGGGGGCGGCGGTGGGCCCGATCCCACCTCTCTCTCATCCTGCACCTCGCTCTATAGCAGCGGCACCGGCACCATCATTGGCAGCAATAACAGCAACAACAGCAGCGCAGCTGCCCGCTGCAGTCGCCACAATCAGAAGCAGCAGCAGCAACAACAACATCAGCAGCAGACAACTGCCGAAATCACCACACCGGAGGATTACGAGCAGTACCAACTGGGCCATCAACCCGCCCACTCCGCCTCCATGCTGTCTGTGGCCAGCAGCATCAGCGCTGCCAGCAGCAGTCGCAAGTGCAAGCAACAGCAACCACTTCGCGTTAGCAATGCAGGACTCCATGAGGTGCGTACCATTTGATTTTTAACCAGCCTTTGGGTTGCAGCTTTTGTCTTAATAGTACCCTTAGCTTAATGGTGGGCATACATTCATATATACGATACTTTCATATACTTATTGTTAAGAACACTGCTTTTCTTCAGTTCCCTTAACCGCAGCTTATGAGATGCAAAGCAAAGATGAAGCATCGCTTATTATTTCAGTTATAATAGGTTTTTCCTACCTATGTATATAGATTTTTTTAGTCAAAAGAGAGCATACCTTTTTCTCGGACAAACTGATGTCTAATGTAAAATTATAAAGTGCTGGCCGGAATAAGAAGCTCATGAGCAACATTTAGGTATAATCGTCTAAAGCTGAAAGAGTAGTAGACAACAGGCAGAAGAAGAAGGCTCTATCAATTCGCCTAATTAAGCTGATTATCAAGTTCAAAGTCACCTGTTTTTTAATACTTTAATACCTCCGTGATCTGGGAAACAGCTTAGAAAGAACTTAAAATATTAGCTGCATGGAGTGTAGAATGAAATTTTAAAGAACATTTGTAGGGCATTCGATTTATCAACTAATAAGTAAAAAAACACTCTGCTATAAATTTTGGAGAGGGATAACATGACTCAAAACAAAATCGAATTACAGCATTTTTTAACCAAATGGCGGTGATAGAACAAAACTGCAATATTTGCAATATTTTTTTTACTAAATAAATATGCATGCATTGTTATTTGAAGCTTTCATCAGTAATGAAAAACAGTTAATTCTACAATTTAATATTTATCGAATTTTATTTTTTTTTAGCTTCAATTTTAATAAACAATTTGTTTTGCTTTTATTTCATGTCACATTTTATTTGATGCACTATTTTGATGGAACTGCAAACACAATCCAATATTTATATTACGATAAATTAACTGACATGTTGCAACAATAACAACGACAATTGCAACAACCACAACAACAACAATAATAATTAAACCACAACAAACATGAACCACACACACACACACACACAATGTTCATTCTGCCAACACTGCATGCCGCGTGTGTAAATGTGTGTAAACGCAACTAACAGCAAACCAAACTGGCCGCTAATCCATTTCTAGCAATTAAACGGCCCGTCAGCAACAGCAACAGCAACAACAACAGCAACACTATCATCGGGGACAACAGCAACAGCGCCCACATCAATGCCTGCAACAAGAAATTACGACGACAGACCATCAGCGACCCCTACGCACATATCAAATGGCATAATGCCAGCAACAGCAACAACGAAGCCTCTGCTGCCGACGGTTATAGCGCCAAATCCGCGCGCTTTGCGCACACGCCAACAACAGCATCAGCAGCAACAACAACAACAACAACAGCAGCAGCAGTTGTTGGTCAACAAATTGGCAACAGCAGGAACGCCAACACTGACGCCAATCATCAACAACAAATGCTAATGCCAAATGAATTGCTGCTCCAAGCGAGTCGATTAGCAGCCACAAGCGATGAGAATTTAAGATATGACCAACAGCAATTGCCACTCGATGCGGCCTACGATTGTTTGGTGGTGCGGCGACCCATGCGGCTGCCACTTCGCAAACATCACACCTTCCACTTCCAGCCCATGCAAACGGCGGCCGGCAAATTGCAGCAACTCCGTCAGCAATTGCAACAACAACAGCAGCTCCAACAAAGGGCAGAGCAGGGTCCTTTGGTTTATCGTCCATTGACTTTAAATGAGCAGCATGCCTTTAAGCCTATTTCGCCAACACCTGCAACACCAACAGCAGTAGCTGCAACAATTGCTGCTGCCGATTATGAAGAAGGCAACGCGGACGTAGCATGTGTTCGTCAGCCGCAATTAAATCCTGCCGCTTCATTGGAGGCATTAGAGGTGCTAACTAAAACGCATCCCGATTTTATGTTTGCCCGCAAAACAAACACCCAAGTGGCCGGCAATGTCGACCCACAAGAGAAGAAAGAAACTGAAGAAGGGGATGGTGTGGAGCAGGAGCAGGAGGAGGAAGAGGAGGACCTCGGTTACTCCTTTTGCGAGGAAGAATATATGGTTGACGACATTGACGAGGATGGCGAAATCACGCTTCATAATCCAACAGCACCGCCCCCCACCCCCGCCCATTGCAGTGCCAGCCGCACCAACGCCTCTACCCATAGAAACGATCCTGTTGTGAATGCCACGGCAGGTGCCTTGAGGTATTTCATGACTCAAAGCTATCGCGAGGTGCACATTTAGAGAAGAAGCCTAAAAACGACGCATACAAGGTATTTAGTGTTAAAAGAAATTCTGGATAAGAACTCATAATATTAAACAACTTAAAGATTATACTTAACTACATAGCATAATTTTGTTTAGCACTACCACATGAGCAGCATTTCAGAATCAACTAATGAACCATGTACTTCAGAAGAGTGTAGAAAACTATCCCACTCCTTGAGAACTGATTAGCTATCGAAGGTTATGTGTAGTCAACAAATAATGGCTCATCTAGCAGTTCTATGTTAAATAAGTTGGACTCTTTATATAGACAGTCGAATTCTAAGTTATCATCTAAAGTTTCACTCCCATAACTTAGAAATCCGATGTTAACTGGATATTGGTGCGTAAACCAATTTATTTCGAGGTTGATATACTGGCTCTAATGACATTATCTTTAGTTAAAAAGATGATGGGTTAATGCCAAATCTTTCTCAGCTCCATTCAGAATTAGAAACTAAAGGCGTGGGCCTTTACATTTTTTAAATTAATGAGCTGAAATCTAGTTATGTTCCTAGTAACTGAATGGTTCCAAATTCAAACAATTCAAACTATTGACACACAACAAACATATGAGATCAAAGAAACTGGAGAGACTCTTTTAAATATTTAAGAAATACAAACCATAATTACACCTTCACGGTTACTACACAATGTTTCCAAACAAACAGAAAGAAATAAATCTATCATCTCAGATGGGTCTCCCATTCTCAAAATTTGTGCAAAGAATTTCCTCATTAATACAAAATACTACTATGTTTCTGATTTGGGAACGCTTTCCGCTCCCGTTTGAAATCAAACCTTCTCTGTCATCCTTCAAAGTATTGTCCATAGAAATGAGATGTTGTTCAATTGAAAGGGGGTTAATAAAACTCCGGTCGAATTATGCCTAAATGGGTTAATTACTATTATCTTAAAGATGTATATGGCTTCTGCTATTTCAAAGATTCATGTGTCTATATATGTATGTATACTATAGCTAACCTTAAAGTTCTAATCAGTTCTCAAGTCAGCAAAAAAAAATTAAACTTGACTCATTAGAAGTGGTGAAAGTATTCATACGTATATCACATGCATACCCTAATTTTTGTATAAGTGCGTTTAAACATACATATATACATTTAAATAGTATATATGTGCATATATTTATACTTATAGGAACTTTGTGGCCTGTGCAAACAAAGTTTATACCAACCACTATGAAGAAATCGAATAGAATATGTGTCCACGACGAAAAGTTGCAACTTTCCCTGGCACTTAGTGTACATAGTTAAGCATATGGATTAAACAATTTAAAATTAAAAATTATATATAAATAGAATACTGCATATTTTCAAGTAGAAAAATCCAAACACAAATTCATCGAACTTTACCAAACTAATCATTCAAGCAAGCACTTTTTCTGCTCTGTGTGTATAACTAGAAAACAAACAAGAACAAAAACAGAGGAGCTCGGAAATTATTCATCAGTATGCATACAACCTACGATAATTATAAACAAATTAATTCATTAAGTGTTAGGCTAAGGCAACTCTGACTGTATGTGTGTTAAGTTTGAAATAGTTTTGTGTAAAATAAAAACATAAATATTAACAAATAGTAAGTACTTAAGCCACACTAGTGTAGAAACTTAAGTAACTCTTAAACTAAGCCATGTCTGATTGTCCTCTCAAGGTATAAAAAGGATTCACCACACACTTCAGAGTGCAACTCAGCATGGCGTTTATTAATTAGCATATTAGTGATATTTTTTAATAAATTATTTGTCATTAGCATTTAAATATAAATAGTACACCATTGAAGCAAAACCAAACAGAAGCAAGGCATAAAATGATTGCATTGTATACAAATATTTATTTAAGTTCTCTATTTATTTATTTATTCTATTTATACGAGTATTTATTTTCTCAAAACCAAAGTATATGGCAAAATTCGCAATGGCTGCAATATTTAAAATAATTTTTATTTATTTAATAACCACTCGACTGTCGTTGCACATAAACTCGCCCACAAGCCAACAACTCTTGTCGCAATTCCAAGTTGTGTTCTAAATTAATATAAATAAATTCAAAATTGATTTCTTATAGCATGTGTCCGATTTTGAGGATCCATACAAAGGCAGCAATACATATATATTCTAAATTTATTGTATAACTTTCCACTAAATGTTTCATGTCACAATAGATCAAGGTAAATGATTTATTTTATAAAACCAACCAAAAAAAGTATCTAAAAGCCTAGAGTTAATCAAGTGATCCGAATGATCTGTTTTTGAATGTTAATAATTTATTTTAGCTGTCGTTGTGCTGTCTTTTAAAAACAAAAGTAATAACGTTTCAATATGAAAAGTTAGTACGCGACTTAGAGTTCAACAATTTGATGTATTTAAGCTGTCTCTGTCTGGCAAGTTCCCATTTGTGCTATTAAGAGATTTCAGAACACAGCAATGTTGCACGACAGCATTATAAATTGTTAATACTTATGCATGGGAACGCGCTTTCGACTCTAACAAGAACTGCAGTCTGTTTTCTTGTCAATAGAATTCGCACAGCTATATATTATTTTTTCACAATTGTTGTCTGTCCTGTCTACGAACAGCCACTAAATGCCGCCAGTTTCGATGATGAGTTTATCTACGCCGATCTCGAGAGTCAACACTACGGACCCATTAACTACAAGGCAGCCTCCTATGCCCAAGTTAAAAAGAATAAGAAAACGGGCGCTCTGGAGGAGGTCAAGAAATAGGTTCTGACAACGCCTTTCGTCTCTTTGTAGCAGCAGTGCATTTTTTTGGAGCCTCGACGAGCTCGCAACATAAACAGGAGTACATGAGTGCTCATAGCCCAAAATATTATAATTTTGATTTTTTTTTTCATACTACTATTAGTTTTACTTTTTTGTGCAAATATTGCCAACATTTAAAATGAAAACAAAAATGATCAAATGAGCTTCTCGTTTAGCATAAAAGAAATGTAAATTTGTTTAAAAACTTAAAGCAAATGAATAACGAATTTCTTAAATTTATGATAGTAACTGTTAAATATAACATTAATGGAAAAAAAATCAACAAATATCAAGTAAGTCGCATGGCAACTTAGCAAACATTTTCACAGTCGCCAATGCCCATTCAAAGCCAGCCCATTTAATCATACTCCACACACACACACATAGTTTCGAGTGCTGATGTAAAAAATTATACTTTTTATTCAACATACAACTGAATACGAGTTCTTACAACAACAAAACCAACAAAGGAAATTATAAACTAGAGCAAACTAAAGAGCAAAGTTTAACGTAAAAAATAAATCTACTAATGACAACAGCCAACCGAACACTTTACCCATGAAATGGCAAAACAACAACAAATATTATTATAGTAATTTTTTTTAAACAAAAGCTGACCGCAAACTATCAACGGCCACAATAAACAACCTCGATGGTGGCAAACAATTCACATTAATTGCAAAGCATCAAATATTAAGGCATAAAAAGTTAAACTAATGACGGAAAAGCTGAAAACCTAAAAACAAACAAATAACAAAAAAAAAAAACGTCAAACAAAAAGCAAACATCATTTAAAGTTTCAAACTAGCAAACCATTACAAAAACAAAAATTTAAAGTAATATTAATTTACATTGTTTTCTATTTGTATACAAACACAAACAATATTAAATTATTGCAATGAACATTAATAATTGATATTGAAAATACAAAAAAATAAATAAAAATAAATCAAGAATAAAATCAGTTAGGCGGACGCTAACTAATTTTTGTTATGCAATTTATTGTAATTAATTATATATATAATTTATTATAAATTATACGAAACAAATATATATGTATACATATTGTATAATTATACGAGTAAATTATTTAAAACGGCATTTACTTAAAATGCAAACAAAACAAGAAAAACTTACAACCAAAAAAGTGGAATTAAATTGAATGAAAACAACTTAGACTCAAGTATATATATATATAAATATTTATAAATTAAATGATTACAAAAACGATGAAAGTAAATAAATAAATTGTACAAGTAAATCAAATCGGGTGCTTTATTTCTTAATGCAATTTCACATAACTGGTATGTATACTTAGTGTTTTAAACTTATTATTTAACAAGAAAAACCGAGCTTACAATCTACACTCACAGTTTAAGGATGTCTTAAGGGTTACCTAAAACTACTCTTCAACTGGTCTTATTTCTTTATATAATAATGCAGGACTGGAACTTTTGCTATATATTTTTTTCAATTAGGAAGCTAAATATTATATGCAGAAAAGGAAAGATATTTATTCATTAAGTTGAAAAATAAACTTGGAATAGACTAGGACGTGATCTTTGACATTGAAAGTGTGTCGCAAAGTAAACAGTTCTTTTTGAAAACAAGAAAATAGAATTTATTTTTTAGTGAAATGAGTTTATTTTATTAAAAATACTTTTTTCGATTCGAGTTTTGCAAGGCTTTGATTCGTTTTTGAATGGCTTTCACTACACTACAACTATTAAAATTGATAAATATTCAGCTGTTATTAGCGAAATACAATAAAATGCGACTAAATATACATGCTAATTAATGTAAAATTTTAGCCATTGCTAGCAACGTTTATAACTTTTTTTTGGGATGTTTTCAGGTGGCCATAATAGCTGAAGCGGAAGCTAAACAAAACCGCTTAGAAATCCTGCAATCTTTTGTAGATGAATTGCAACAAACATATAACTAGACGACTGCTAATTTGCACTCCTGCCTAATTAATTTGTTCGGCTCGCTTATTATCAAGCAATATCTAAATTCCATGAGAAAGCGATGCCTAGCTTAGTATCTCTATATGTCGCTAATTTCAAAAAATGACCTGATTAGAATATGATATAATTTTTTCATAAGCAAAGGTTTTTACATCCCGCTCAGATGAACATTTTAATTTAAAAATTTAAACAAATTTTACCAGATACACCAAACTGCTCAATTATCAATTTTGAGCTGCCATTTTATTAATTGAACAAACACCCGAACAGTAAATATGTATCGAATATGACCAAACTCGTTAATTTGTTTACTATGTTCAGCGGGCATTGTAATTCGGAGAAATTACGGAAATAAATGTGGTTTTAATGCATTCGAGACTACACAAATTCTAGATTGCAAAAATTTCGCACACCCGCAAAGTGAAAATCAACGGATGTGCAAATAGTGAAAGTTTTTATTTTTCTATATGTTCAAATATTACAAAAACAAATAGAAATTGTACACACATACTTGTATGCCTCCAACATATCGCCTAAAAATTGAAGCGCAAATTAATAAACGAAAACCGATGCAATTGCTGCCACATGGCCCTGCCAGGTGAGTTACTGT